AAAATAAATGTAATCAAACACATCCTAACTTTTATAAAAATCTGCTAAAAATTTAAATTTTATTTAAACCAAACAAGCCGATAGTACTCAATAGTCATTTTACCTTGAGTTCTCTATACATAATCTCACCTACTAAGCAATCCAACAAATTTTCATGCTTGAGTGATACAAACAACTCCAATAACCGCCTCCTGAAGCCAAAATAGGGTGTGTCGGACTACCCAAAAACTTAAATCATGAAGTTTACATAGAGATGGTTTTCTTACTTGCATAATGATGACTCGGTAGAAGGATACATAGCACCTTTTGCAGAGGTTCCCTGCTTCCTACCAGTTGTTCCAAGGATAACTTCATGCAAGCCGGACCTATTCCAGCAAATTGAATACCTGCATATATAAGGATAACAGAACTTCAGAGAAGACATCTTATTATAATATGCTAATCTTCACAAATGGTCATATTAAACAAAGCCCACCCGCAAGTTAAGGTTGTTAGAGCAGTCTCAGAGTGTTGGAACTCCTTGGGTGGTATTGGAGATACCAAAAAGAGTGGCTGTAAAATGCCGAAAAAAAAGGAAAAAAGAAAAAAGGACAATTTGTTCAGATGGATCAGCATTATGTTACATGGCCAAAGTGCACGGAGCTAATCAGCAAATTACAACCTTATTAACATGAAAAGGGTTAATTAATTCTTTTGACAATGGCAGAATTCGATCGTATAAAGATCTTCTCAGTTGATCAACCATTAGAAAATCTTCAGAACCATAATGGGACCGACCAGTGGTTATAGAAGAAATGTAAACTGGTTCCAGGAAATACGAAAGCAGAGATCCTGCATAGAAAGAAAGAATTCATGTCAGACAATCTATAGAACATATTTCATCAAAAAAGTTCACAATAGAATTAATTTTTTTTTATATGAAATTGTGAATTAGGGACTTATGCACAAAATGATAATTGATATTTGACAAGTTAACAATTCCATTTTCACATACAAAGCGAACCAGCACAGACGATGTAAGTCTTAATACATGTAACAGAAAAATATGGGGACCAGGAGTGTTCATGGAGTTTTAAAGATGATCACAGTAAAAGAAAAGATTAACTTGTTTTGCATTAAGACATTCAACTCATGAATTCACCAGATTTAGCAAAATTTCAGGCTGTGCTATTCAGCAACAATCTTCATATGGTTTACTTATTTGCTCATAATTTGATGATCATAATAACCAGTTAAAGCTTAAGGTAACCAGAGAATTGTTATAGCCTCTAAAGTACCCAGATGGTCCAGGATCAAAGGTGAAACGAAATTCTAGACATGCTCGAAAGCTATCTATGATAGGTTACAGCGATAAATATTTTCCGTTTGTTCAAGGAAAGGATTAAAGCATGTTATAGAGAGAACTTAAGGAACCTTGAACCCCAACAACATTCCAGCGAGCAATCTTGTCAGAGCAGCTCACCGATAAAGTTGTATCTCCTCGACCAGGCTTCCTCTTTCTCTTTGTCACATATTATAGGTGAATCTACACATAATGTCAATACATTCAAAATTCTTTGGTAACCAATTATAGCCTTTGTTTGGTCCCATTTCTTAAAACTCTTTTTTCCCCAAATTTATTTTTAACCACATATTTACCCACAACTTTCATCAACTTTTCAATCATACATTTCACTAAGAGCGTATTTGACTAGCATAAAATATAACATCTAAAAAAGAAAATATTTTCCTTGTTTTGAGGAAAACAAAAACCACCTCCCCCTAAAGAAAATATTTTCCTTAAAAACAAAGAAAATTAGATATATTTTCAAAAGTTGGAAAAAAAAAAAGAAAATCAATGGAAAAAAATAACAATCAAACACTCAAAGTAGAAATTTGGATGGAAAACTGATATTTTTCATGGAAAATAAATGTAATCAAACACATCCTAACTTTTATAAAAATCTGCTAAAAATTTAAATTTTATTTAAACCAAACAAGCCGATAGTACTCAATAGTCATTTTACCTTGAGTTCTCTATACATAATCTCACCTACTAAGCAATCCAACAAATTTTCATGCTTGAGTGATACAAACAACTCCAATAACCGCCTCCTGAAGCCAAAATAGGGTGTGTCGGACTACCCAAAAACTTAAATCATGAAGTTTACATAGAGATGGTTTTCTTACTTGCATAATGATGACTCGGTAGAAGGATACATAGCACCTTTTGCAGAGGTTCCCTGCTTCCTACCAGTTGTTCCAAGGATAACTTCATGCAAGCCGGACCTATTCCAGCAAATTGAATACCTGCATATATAAGGATAACAGAACTTCAGAGAAGACATCTTATTATAATATGCTAATCTTCACAAATGGTCATATTAAACAAAGCCCACCCGCAAGTTAAGGTTGTTAGAGCAGTCTCAGAGTGTTGGAACTCCTTGGGTGGTATTGGAGCTACCAAAAAGAGTGGCTGTAAAATGCCGAAAAAAAAAAAAAAAAAAGGACAATTTGTTCAGATGGATCAGCATTATGTTACATGGCCAAAGTGCACGGAGCTAATCAGCAAATTACAACCTTATTAACATGAAAAGGGTTAATTAATTCTTTTGACAATGGCAGAATTCGATCGTATAAAGATCTTCTCAGTTGATCAACCATTAGAAAATCTTCAGAACCATAATGGGACCGACCAGTGGTTATAGAAGAAATGTAAACTGGTTCCAGGAAATACGAAAGCAGAGATCCTGCATAGAAAGAAAGAATTCATGTCAGACAATCTATAGAACATATTTCATCAAAAAAGTTCACAATAGAATTAATTTTTTTTTATATGAAATTGTGAATTAGGGACTTATGCACAAAATGATAATTGATATTTGACAAGTTAACAATTCCATTTTCACATACAAAGCGAACCAGCACAGACGATGTAAGTCTTAATACATGTAACAGAAAAATATGGGGACCAGGAGTGTTCATGGAGTTTTAAAGATGATCACAGTAAAAGAAAAGATTAACTTGTTTTGCATTGAGACATTCAACTCGTGAATTCACCAGAGTTAGCAAAATTTCAGGCTGTGCTATTCAGCAACAATCTTCATATGGTTTACTTATTTGCTCATAATTTGATGATCATAATAACCAGTTAAAGCTTAAGGTAACCAGAGAATTGTTATAGCCTCTAAAGTACCCAGATGGTCCAGGATCAAAGGTGAAACGAAATTCTAGACATGCTCGAAAGCTATCTATGATAGGTTACAGCGATAAATCTTTTCCGTTTGTTCAGGGAAAGGATTAAAGCATGTTATAGAGAGAACTTAAGGAACCTTGAACCCCAACAACATTCCAGCGAGCAATCTTGTCAGAGCAGCTCACCGATAAAGTTGTATCTCCTCGACCAGGCTTCCTCTTAACAGTACCAGGAACTTGAGAACAATCACCTGAAGACTAATCTTTTGAGAAGAAATTTCGAACATCAAATAAACAAACAATTAAAACACCATTATTTACTTCGTAAGTGGGAATACATTACAATATCAAATATCTATTAAGAGTTTCAACAAACATAAAAATCAAGGGAAAAAAACAAGATCATTAAAGTTCTTCTGAATGGATATAACATTATTCCAGAAAACATGTAGGAAAAGAAAAATGAATGGGCAGAACACATTTATAGCCCTAAGTTGTGCCCACAAAATTCCAACAATTTTCATATTTAATAAACCAAACCAGAAATTTGCGACACCAAATATCCACCTATCATAAGAACTTAAAGTTTATAAAAATCTGCTAAAAATTTAAATTTTATTTAAACCAAACAAGCCGATAGTACTCAATAGTCATTTTACCTTGAGTTCTCTATACATAATCTCACCTACTAAGCAATCCAACAAATTTTCATGCTTGAGTGATACAAACAACTCCAATAACCGCCTCCTGAAGCCAAAATAGGGTGTGTCGGACTACCCAAAAACTTAAATCATGAAGTTTACATAGAGATAACGTTCACGGACATCATACCAAATCTTATAAAATACTTCATTTGCATTTAAAACTTCTAGATCAGGGTAAATATCTAATGTATCCATACAGATCTTTGTCTTGACTAAAGGACTAAAATTTAAGGGGCTTGAAATAATCACGAAGCGAATGGTAAGTATAACAATGTTTCGTGAACATTAGTCCATCAGTTATTTCAGAACTCAAGATACGCTCCACAGTTGGCGTTTCAAACAACTTAGCAAGCCTTTGACAAATCAGCCATTTTATCTGCCTAAACTACTTATTTTTCCTTAAGGATCTTGATGTATTTCAGACAGTAATATTTGATGAATTAACAAAACAGCCATTTTATTCCAAGACTACAACATTTGTTCTTCCGTTCTATCATAAAATAAAACAAATTAATCAGCAGAAATGTTATTTCGTGAACTTTCTAAATAAATGAAATTTGTGAAGAACTTCTACATAAATTTTCTGTACATTCTTTCCCCCTTTTCTCCAGTGACAAGAATACTGAATAAAGAAGATATTTCTGGTGAACTTCAAATGATTTTCCCCTATGTACTTTCCTCCAACGAAAGGAGCAGAACCAGATTAAGGAAAATTTTCCACTGCCTAATTATAGTTGATGCCTCATGGTTATTGAAGAACTAGCTACAAATTTAATATGCCATTCTTATGCTTATCCTTGCTGCATTGGCACTGGATCAATAAGCATGCAGTATGTAATATTAAGAACTCAAAATTTCAACACAAATCCCTAGTAAATCCTCACCTGCATGGCTGCATCTAATATGTTAATAAGAAATAGAGGTGTCAAATTATCCACATTCCACAAGTAAAATGATGTGTAACTGCATTAAAACAAGTATAAATTAGAAACTCTTAAATGAGGACACCTTTAAAAGAAAAACTAAAATTGGCTGCACTCAGCCTACAACCAGTCTTACTAACTGATCCATGCACGAAGAACATGGTTGGGGTGGGAACTAAGAAAGATACTGCAATGTTACAGTGAGCAGATCAGGTAGATGTTATGAATCTTTAATTTTTATTTTGTTATTTATTCTTTAATGTTATTGTTTTAGTGTCAATCATTAGAGTTATAGGAGCATTCTTTGTGCTAGTGTTTAGTGGTTTCTATATTTTAGGGATACTGTAGGAGTTATCTAGGATACTTGTTATTAAAAAAGTGTAAAGGAAATTAAATGAAAGGTGGAAAGAATTATTTCTATAAACATAGTGATGTATTTGGGAGTTTATTGGTTCCTCAAAAACCAATATTTTGGAGGGTCCAGGTCTCCTCGAATTAACCCTCTCTTCATCTTTTCTCATTCTACGTTGATTTTCTCATTATGAATAATTTGTGTTCGTCACTTTTGGTATTAGAGCGCTGGGAAACAAAGAAATGGGGCAACAACTAGAGAACATACAAACCATGGTGAAAACAATGAGTTAAATAAATAAAATAATAGTTAGTCAAGAAATTTTCACGCAAGATGAATGAGATGTTGAAGATGTTGGATGCAAAATCAAACCCCCATCACCAAGCAGCCACGATAACTGTTGCAGAACCGGATTGATCGGAGTCAAATTTAAATCTCACATATCTAGGAACTAGTTTTTCAGTTAGTTCATATTTTGATATATCTGAATCTTTCAGTTGTATTTTGATTTTATCAATTCCTAGAATTATGTATCGTTTTCCTATAAATGTAACACCATTTACAAAGAAATAGATCATCAGAGATTAAGTCCCAAAACCTTCAATAACAAATGTTTTGGCAAGACAAAAACAATTCATTGACCAGCACCATTACACCCCAAAGCACCAAAGTCCTACATGTGGAAGTTTGAGCTAAAATATTTGGCAACATCGGTGGGGTGTTATCATCAACAATGGTAAAAATTAGTAAAACGTACGATATAGGATAAGCATAATGGGTAGAAAATAATTCAATTAAAAGGTCAAACATCCTTCCCAATGAAATCCAGTGGAGAGGCCTCTTCCAGTCCTAAGTCTGACAAGAAGAAAGTTTCTTTGCTTGAAACTATATTGCTCGGACTCGAGTACAGGCGTCGAATACGAGTACATATATAAGAGTCAGATCCCTTTTATTCTAAAACTTGGGATACAGAGATATGATCAATAATTTAGACGCAAGCATTGGGTACTTCTTACAAACATAAAAGTTTTTCGAATATTACATAATAATAGTTTTAGATTATCTTTTAGGGAGTGTAGCACTAAATCGACTAGGTTTCACGCCTTATAAATATTAGTTTTATGCCTCAAAATCAATTTTACTGCTTTAAAGATCATGGGCCCATTTTTTCTCCCTACAGCTTCCGCTTCCTCCCATGGCGTTTCAAGTTTCTGCATGTCCAGTTCTAAACCGAAACAGGTTTATACCCCTGTCGTGTCATGTCATTTCAAACAAGTATGTCATCCAAATTGAAGAATCTGGGCATCATAGGCCTAAAAAAAGGAAATTTTAACGCCAAAAGAGTTGACTCTCTTAGATCGGAACTCGAGCCAAAGTATTGTGAATTGCATCTTGTAAATTTCGGAAAGTACTCTGATAATAAAGTGTCAATATTAGGGATATGAAATATCTTTAATTCAAGGCGTTCGAAAGAAGTTCATAATACCTTCATATTTAGTTATAATTGAGAACAGAGTAGAAGACCAATTTGTTTGGGGTTGTTTGGGGGGAGGGGAATACTCTTAGAGGCATGAATGTTTTGAAGGGGAGAGAATGTTATGAGTCTTTAATTTTATTTATGTAATTTATTCTATAATATCATAAAAATTATTAAAGTTTGAACTAGAGAGATATAAGAGCATGCATTTTGTTAGTGGTTTCTATATTTTAGGAATTAAGGAAGTCATCTTGTATTTTTCTATATAAAAAGTGTGTAGAAAATTAAATGAAAGGTGGAAAGATTTATTTCTACAAACATAGTCATTGTATTTGGGAGTTTATTGGCTCCTCGAACTACTAATACTAGGGAGGTATTGGTTTCCTCGAACTAACCCAATTTTCATCATTTCTCTTTTTATACTTTCTTTAGTTCTGAAATCAACAATGGAGTCCGCATCAATTGATATAGACACAAGTTGATCGTATTGAAAAAGACAAAACAAAAAGAGAAAAAAACAATTGTGAAGAGCTAATTAATTCTAGGAACCCGGATCTCCAAATTATTGACAGTTTGAGGAATCAATAACCCCCCTAAAATAAACATATGTTTGTTAAATAATTCATTCACCCCTTTTCATTTATTTACTCTTTTACTAGAAAAAAATACAAGACATGATTTTTCACTAATTCCTAATAAATAGACACATCTCCTCACTAACACAAAGAATGGTCCTATAACTATATCCATCGTTTCAAACTATAATATAAACAAAATATTATATTCAATCAATATAAAAATACTAAAAATAACTTCCTAAAGAAAGAGAAGGTCGTAAAATCCCTCCCCTTTGAAAACATAATATCTTGTATTTCTATTTAAAGAGTGTGAACATAAGGTGTGGAAGAATTATTTCTACAAATATAGTACTCGTAATTGAAAGTTTATTGGTTCCTCGAAAACCAATACTTTGGGAGGTCAGGGTTTGTGAATACTCTACATCTGTTCTAATTCTCTCTCTCTCTCTCTCTCTCTCTCTCTCTCTCGCGTTATGAACACTTTGTTTTCACTAAAGTAGCATTCTAAGAATATCAGTACAACAACTGGAATACAAATGCAATAACCTGGACAACCCTTGAAAGTGAACAGAGCAAAGCAACTAAATGATGGAAAACGAGGTATATCTTCAGTGATATGGAATTCAAAATTGAAATAGCAGGGATACAAGGGAGTAGTCGTAGGTTAAATTTCCCAACATTACCGTTCACCATTGCTGAAGATTCTGAAAATTCCTTGGTCATGGAATCATGGTCTGCAGAGTGGTGTTGCTTATCCCTTTGTTCCAAAGGACCAACTGAAGTAAACAATTGGGAACTGAGTGATGTGTCTCCACCTACAACAACAAGCAGCAGAAAGTTTAAACAGTCAATGCGAGATGCAGTATAGAAAAGATAACATGAGATCGCCAGTTCCTACAGGGTAACTGTGATATGTACAAATGTAACTGCCAGCCCGGTCTCAATTTGTATTTTCCTTTGCCACAGTTATCGGTGCCCAAATGTAAAGGCGAGTATGCGATTTCATCACCATGCAACAGTATTCTTCCATTATTATGTCTATGGTTACTAAAGTTTTCGGTCAGACATCCAATCTCCATATAGAAGTACCTGTTAGAATTGAGATACTCTTTAGTCATATAATTCAGCCATGTGCCTCAATGCAGATTGCAGAGTAAGTTTAAAGTGACAAGATTGTAAAAAGCATGTATATAGTATCCACTTCTTTCCAGAAGGATTAAATTCACTTAAACCAAAACAAAACAATAAATTTTGTTAACCACGCAATCTAGTTAGAATGATTGATACTATAAGATAACTGAGAATAACGACTTTAGTACAGATTAGCAAGATTAGGGTTTCAGCATTGGAGTACCATGCCGCAAATATGTCATTTATAGTTATTCTATTTTTAAAGGATATTGAATGAATGACAGTTTAAAACCCTTCTCCAATTGCCACATTGAACTAAGAAACTGGGATTCCGTCTCTGCAGATTCTTTAGTTTTACTGTTCAATTTATCATTCCAATTAAACTATATGATTGACAAGACGCAACAATTCCCTTTCACATAAGAGAAT